TACGAGGTCAGGGAGGACAACCACCAAGGCACGCCCCCGCTCATGATTGTCAGAGCGACGCTGAGCCGTGCCGCTTCAAGTCCAACTTCCAGCGGGCAGCACCTGCGGAAGATACAAGTCTGGGACGTCAGGAAGGCTTTCTTCAACGCTGACTTAGACGAGACGATCTACGTGCATCCTGGGAGAGAGCTGTGTCCGCCTGGAAGGTGCTGGTGGTTACGCAAGGCCATGAACGGTACCAGGAAGGCGTCGCAGATGTGGGGTGAGCTTGTGAGAACTACTATGGACGACGGCCATTGGGAATGCTTGGTTGGAACTCCTAACGTGTTCTACTTACCTGCTAGCCCCAACACAGCCCCCTTCGACGAGGATAGCACAGCGATCTGCCATGGCGATGACTTTCTTGCTGAAGGCTACGACGAGCAGCTGGACGAGCTGGACGAGTTGTTGAAGCAGCAGTTTGAGGTCACGGCCAGCGCCAGACTTGGACCAGGAGCGGTGGGGCAGACTACATACCTCAAGAGGACGATCGGCTACACCGACAAGTTGCCAGGTTGCGAGGAGCCAGGTTTCTTCTGGACTGCCGATCCCAAGCATGTGGACTTCATGATCAAGTGGACGCAGAAGCGAGGTTGTAAACCAGCTCCTACTCCAGGAACGAAAGCTACAGGACAAGGCCGACGAGACAGCCTAGACCTTCTTTCCAAGGATCGTGCTCGAGAAGTGGCGGGTGCAGCAGGCACCGCTCTTTACCTTTCTTCGGACAGGCCCGACACGATGTACGCCAGCAAGACAGCGATGCAGCACGTCTCCAACCCGAACGTCTTGATGCATGCGCGTGTTCAGCGACTTGGAAGGTACTACGAAGGACAGCCTGTTTTGGTCTGGTGTTACCCACTTCAAGGTACTCCTGAAGGCATTCGTGTAGATGGTGATGCGGATTGGGCACCTACGAGTGAACTACAGCGGCGATCTACCAGTGGAGGAGCTGTGAGGTATGGCGACCACACTTGGGACTGCTACTCAGTGACGCAGAGTACGATAGCCCTAAGTTCAGGGGAATCCGAGATGTATGCTACGGGAAGTGCGACAGCCAGAGGACTTCAGTGTAAGACTTACCTGATCGAGACCCAGAGGCCCTGCAACCTGAAGATCTATAGTGACAGCACAGCTGGACGTGGCATGTGCAGCCGAGTTGGGGTGGGCAAGGTCAGGCATCTGGAGCTGAGGTACTTGTGGATTCAGGAGCGGTTGCGTCTCAAGGCGTTCGAGCTTCACAAGGAGGACACCAGCAAGATGACAGCCGACATGCTCACGAAGTACAGCGAGTGGCCGACAATCGAGAAGCATTGCACCACTCTCAACCTCAGGTTCGGAAAGCAGATGACGGGCTTGAGCGCAATGGCAGTTTTCACGGAGGTCGTGACGAAGGCGTCAGGCGAGAAGGTGACAGTGTACGGAGGATCTGACGAGGTTGCGGTTTGCCCCGCGCCTGTCAGCCACTATGTGGAGAGCGAGGAGTTCAGGTTCTACTTGATGTTGGGACTTGTTATGGTGACTGCAGCGAGTACTTTCTTATTGGGGTGCTGGTGTGGTTGCTACTTCAAGAACTTCTACGACAAGTTCTTCCTCCAGGGTGCGGTTAGCCCCGCCTCTGGAAGCACTTGCCCACCATCTGCGCGGGCTGACGTCGAGTTCAAGACCGTGTGTGCACAGCAGGACAAAGGTGCAAGGCACAAGCTCTTAAACACGTTTCTTGTGGCTGAGCTGCGAGCTGTCTTGAAGGCCAAGAGCCTGGCCGTGTCAGGGATCAAAGAAGACCTGGTCACGAGGATGATCAAGCACGGAGGTGTTCTGTCGGATCGCCAGGCCAAGGAGATCGAGCAGCTGCGGGTGATGGCTACAGCGCATGGACCTCTTGCCAAGCTTAGCTTGCAGGACATCAGCAGTCCAGAGGCTGCGCAGAAGTGGATCGAGACGTTCAAGGGCGAGTGCCGAGACCGTTCCAGAGGCTCTCAGGTGATCCACGGAGAGGGCTAGGAGAATGGTCGCAGGAAGCACTACGACGGCCGAGGGTGAGCTTTGTTTTACAGGCTGCGGTTTGCCCCGCGCCTGCCCTCAGCGGGTAGCCCCGCGATGGGTTTAGGGGGCCAGCGCCGTTGCGACGCCTGCCCAGGGAGCACAAAGAGGCTTCCCTGTGGCTCACTTTTCTTGGCTGGAGGCCGAGCCGCTTCCAGCGCCCAAGGAGAGGTGCTAGGAAGTTTGTAGTTTCACATAGATATATGATTATATAAAATATAATCTAGACTGTCCTGGAGGATCCAGGAAATCCTGCAGCCCTTTGTTGCTCGAGGAAAAGAGCGACCCTCACCTCCCCCCTTTCTCCGCGAGGGGGGTGGGTGCGCGTGCACATATACATACACACAAATATATACACATACATACATGTACACACATTGTATACGTTTGCACACATATGTATAAGCATAAGCAGGTGCATATGTATATGTACGTGTAATTGTATATGTATACGATCATGTAGGTGCGTATGTATATGTATATGTAGCTGTCAATGGCTAGGCATGTGCAACTGTCTATGCATATGTATTTGTATATGTGTAAGAATAGGCATGTGAGCAGGTACGTGTATTTGTATATTGTATATGTCTATGTATATGTACATGTACGTGTACACGAGCATGTACATGTATATGCATATGTACAGGTGTACGCACTTATATGTGTGTATGTTATCGATCGGCAAATGTGGAAGTACATGTATAGGTATACGTATATGTTTATAGTTAGGCTTATGTATGTGTACGTATATAGTTTTATATACACACATATATATATGTATATATATATAGCTGCAGCTGTGTATGTTTATGTAGAGGTGCCTATACATGCATACATATTTGTATACGTAGCTGTTCATGTTCATGGATATTCATGTGTGTGCGTATACACATTTATATATATATATCTGTGTGTGTGTGTGCGGGTATGTCTATGTATACGCAGATGCATATGTTTAAGTATTTGTATATGTTTATGCATTTGCATGTGTATAGGCACATGTATCTGCACGCATATGCGTGTACATGTATGTGTATCTGCATACGTATATTCGCATGAATGTGCACATGACTTGTAAATATAGATGTCTATGCAGATGTATATGTATATGTGTATGTATATGTATATGTACAGGTATCTGTATACATCGATTTTTGTCTCACGACCTAGCGGCATCACGCCCTTTCCCGCGACTCCACGATCAATTTATCTGCCGATCCCACAGTCTATCTATCGGGCCAGCCAGCGGGACAACCATCGGGACAACCGTCTCCATGCGACCACCAACGGAACACTCATTGTGACAACCGTATTTATCGAACAACCTCTACCGGTATTTCTAACTGATACGAACTATCGATTGAGCTTATTTTCGCATTACCCATCGATGCCACTATCTATCGATCGGGACACTTCGATACAACCAGCGAGACAACGATCGGCGCAACCATTATTTGTTCTGTTTGCCCCGCAGGGCGCGCTTTCTGTACCATCGGCCCACAGGGCGTATGTGTTTCTTTTGGTTCTGCCGCGCAGGGCGCATGTTTTTGAGTGATGGCCTCGCAGAGCGTATTTTTTGGTCTTACGGCCTCGCAGGGCGCATGTTTTTGAGAACCACCGTGGCGACCATTGGGGCAACTATCGGGGCAGCAATCGGGACAGATAACCATCGGGACAACCATCGGGTTAACCTATCAGGACATCCATAGGGTTAACCTATCGGGACAACCATCGGGATAATCATGGGGTCAACCATCGGGTCAATCATCGGGACAACCTATCGATGTAACCATCCGGACAACGATCGGGACAACCTATCGGGACAACCATCGGGAAAGCCATCGAGACAACCACCAGGATAATCATCGTGACAACGATGGGGACAACCATCAGGACAACCATCGGGACAACCATCGGGAACCATCGGGACAACCATCGGAACAACCATCAAGACACACGTCGGGACAACCATCGAGACAGCCTATCGGGACAATCCCTCGCCACGGCCGAGGCTGGGGCGACTCATTTTGATTTGATTTTGCCTCAACCAGAGGACGAACTCGCGCAGCTTCGCCTCGCCTCGCCTGCACGCCCGCACGCCACGCACTGCACGAGTCGACACCGAAAGCGATTTCCTGGTTGGGGTACCTCACATTTCATGTCGGTGTCGCCGCCCAGCTTTCGATACATGGATATACGGAAACCAGTGTTGGTGGTCCACTGTGTGTCCACTCGTGAATTCGATCGTGTGTCCAGTGCGCGTGACAGATGGTGCCACCACCCAACTTGTGGCTTCTGCGGCATACCGATCTCGTATGCACCTCGTGGCCTTCGGCCCACTCCGGCCACCGTGCCTGAGTTGTGGGTCGGAGGCCTCTTGGATGCTCGTTGGGGCCACGGCCACAGGGCATCCCCGCGCACGCCCCGGGGCGGCCGTGGGACCACCTCCGGGACGACCACGGGACAGCCACGGGACAGCTCCGCGCACGAGCCCCGCACGCCGGCCCGCGGCTCGGTCTTGGCGTGGCCTGGGCTCGGGCAGCGCAGGAACGCGCGTTGTGCCGCGCCTCGCTCGCGCGCGCGGCACGAGCCGACTCGAGACCGATTCCTCAACCGGGCGACTTCGTGTTACTGCTGTCTCACCTCCCGACCTCCAGCATCAGGCGCCGAAGGGAGGGGGAACTGCTGCTCGACCAGTGGGAGCCCTCCGGGGGGGTCGGAGCTTCGGAGCTGGCCAGAGGAGGAGGGGGATGGGCAGGAGGAGGAGAAGCATGAGCATTAGCAGCAGCACCCGCAGCAAATCAGCGGCAGGAGCGACAGCTCCTGCAGATACGGCATCCCTGGCATCTGCAGCGTCAGCAGCAGGATCAGCAGCAGTGTCAGTAGACGCGATGGCAGCAACTTGCCTGATTGCACCCCAGGAGATGGAGAAGCAGAGGATGGGCATCCGCGAGAAGATGATTGCCGAGCAGAAGCTGCGCGAGGAGGCCAAAAAGAAGATGGAGGAGGGGGTCGGGAAAGGGACCCAGACCCCCGACGCCACGATTTTTTCACAACGTCGACCCCCAACGTTCTCGACCCATTGCCCTGGACCGGTGCTTCATCCCGAGTAATTTTTTGACGGTCCCGAGGCCCGGTAAGAGCTTCCAGAGGCCGAAGCTGGCGAACAAATCTCCGTCATGATTTTATACGGCCCGAGGAGGTCTGGGGAAGGGAGTGGAGAGCAGAGGAGAGGAGAGGAGAGGAGGGGAGGGGATAGGAGGGGAGAGAGGAGGGGAGGGGAGAGGGGAGGGGAGAGGAGGGGAGGGGAGGGGAGGGGAGAGGAGGGGAGGGGAGAGGAGAGGGGAGAGGAGGGGAGGGGAGAGGAGGGGAGGGGAGAGGAGGGGAGAGGAGAGGAGAGGAAAGGAGGGGAGTGGAGACGAGGGGAGAGAGGAAGCTGGGAGCAGGCGTCAGCTCGGGGCAGGGAGCGAGGAGCAGAGGGGGAGGGAGCATGGAGCAGCGAGGCGGCAGGATGGACGAGTGGGCCCGGGAGGACGGCTGCTCACCTCCAGCCTCCCTCCTCCTCCCTCCTCCCTCCTCCTCCTCCTCCTCCTCCTCCTCCTCTTCCTGCTCCTCCTCCTCCTCTTCCTGCTCTCCTCCTCCTCCTCCTCCTCCTCCTCCTCCGTCCTCTCTCCCTCCTCCCTCCTCCGTGCTCCCTCTTCCCTCCTCCCTCCTCCGTCCTCCCTCCTTCGTTCTCCCTCCTTCGTTCTCCCTCCGGAGGTTCTACGCTCCAGGACACAGCCCGGCGGCAATGCCGGCGGTCCTGCACATCCTCCCCCCTTCGAGGCAAATGCTTTCAGGTCACGGACTGGCGACAATGCCGGCTGTGCATTTTTTATCGTCGCGTCGGAGGTTCTGACCTCCAGTACACAGCCTGGCGGCAACGCCGGCGGTCCTGTACACCATCCCCTCCTTATGCTGTTCCATGGCACAGCCCGGCGACAAAGCCGGGAAAGGTGCTTTCATTCGCCACGTCGGAGGTGTTTACCTCCAGGACACCGCCCGGCGGCAATGCCGGTGTTCTTGCACACCTATTTCGCCTCACTAAGAATTTGGTCTGCCCGCCAGGACACCGAGTCGGCGGTCCTGGGTAAATATACCCATCTTCGTGGCTTGCGGCATCAAGTTGTTTCTTGGGCACCCCTTCGTTGTCTATATTTGGATGCACCGGTCCATCCGCATGGCCACTAGGGCTGAACCCACTCGGGGCCCGCCGATGGGCCCTAGTCGGGTTCACCTCCCCCGTTCCGCCACAGCTCACACAAAAGTGGCCGGCCCCGACATAGAAACCCAGAGGCTTTGTCAGATTTCGTCTTCGGCCAGGCGTTTGGGAACTTGTGCGGAGACGGTTTCCCAGCAGGCCTTCGACGATCATCTGGAGCCCCCCAGCGGCCTTCTGAGGCAACAGGTCAGGGGTGCCCGCAGTTGCGTCGTCTTCCGCATTGCGCTCCTGGGGCTTCGTGCAAGGCCCAATGCGGCCCAGCAGGGCCAGTCCTTTCTTTGGACACTTGTCTTCCGGCCCTGTTCGCGTCAGCCCCCCCCCTTGAAACAGCGTCGTGATGGTAGCGGTTGCCGCAGGTCTTCGGCTCAAGCTTCTGCAGCCCACAATCCGACCTCCGGCACTTTTACAACGGCGCATCCGCTGACCCATCCGGACAGATGGCCGACAGCAAGACCCGCCCAGGCAGCTCATGCGAGGTTCTGGGCTGCAGTGGACGCCTTGTCGGGGGACCAGCACTCGATTGCAGCAGGGGGTCGCAATTCTGAGCGACGCTTAAACGCCGAATCCCGTGGCAGCCGAGCAGTGCCCCAAGGCCGCTGGCCCGCCGCCAGGCCCCACTTCGGCATCTGGCGCGGGAAAGGGGAAGACAGAGTGGCAGCGCCGGTGTAAAGGGCATGAGGCCAAGGGGGCCAGGGCGGAACCCTATCCTTCCCAGGCCCGCTGGGCGGCCCTGCGGCCTGGCACAGGAGGTCACTACCAGACACCTGGCGTCATTCTGGGCGGTGCTACCGGGTGCGGCCAGACCGTCCAGGCCGAGCCATGAATCCCTGGCGCCTGGGGCCCCGCTGTCCCCACGAAGGCCCCAGACGTCCCTCAGCAGCACAAGCACACCGGCATCTACGTCAGCAGTGGTGGCTCAGCGCCTCAGGGACTCAAGCGCCCGCCCCAGCAGGAGGGCCAGCAGCCGCCAGCGACGAAGGCCCCCAAGGTCAAGCTAAGCAAACCTCTCTCAAAGATCACCATGGCGCAGGCCGAAGTCGATTTCTGGCAGGACCACGCCAACCGCGGTTCGGCGGAGGCTGCCCCCAACCTCATCGCGGCCAAGCAGCGCCTGGAGACCCTCCGGAACGACGAGTTCTTGTCTCTGGGCCCCGCCGAACAGGCCTCCAAACTCCATGCAAAACTCGACATCGAAGAGGCGCAGCTCGCCGACGACACCACGTCCTTGGAAGCTATCGGGGATGAGATCGACCAGCTCTGCGACCTCCACTTCGAGCTAGGCGGCGCCATCCAGGCTCTCATCGCGGGCACTCGCTCCGTGCGGAACCAAATGAACTCACAGAGGCCATGATGTCCGCTCCGACGGATTCCAAGCCCGCGGAGTCCAAGGAACCCTCCTCGCAGGACACGGTGGACTTCATCAAAACCCACCCCGAGGTCGACGTAACGAACATGGATCCGGAGGAGAGAGCTTCCCGCAGCAGGACCTACATCCACTCGGGACAGTCCCCACCCCGCTGTCTGTCGAGTCGCCGCAGCTCGGGCCACAGGCATCCTCTGCTTCCAAGATCGACAAGGTTAACGTCACGTCCACCAAGGTCGAGGAGGCGTTGGAGGAGCTTCGCAAAGCCGGCGTCACGGAGGGTTCTACGGCGCTTCCAGGTGATCCGCAGGACCAATCAGCGGCTCCCGCGGTGGTGGCCGCAGCCCCTGCAGCGGTTCAGCCGGCCGAGCCCGCTGCGCCTGCACCTGCTGCGGCAGGCGCCGACCAGGCCGTGGAAGAAAAGTCGGAAGGGTAACACCCGCCACCCAATAGATGCAGTCGCCCCGCCGCGCTCAGTTTTGTCAGCCTTAGTGCTCGCACGCAGTTCGGTTTCATTCGAACTGTGTACTTTCAATGGCGACGCCTGGACAACTGTCTGGCCTCTCCTGGAGCAGGGCAGATTTAGCCGGTTTAGGGTGGTAATGCTGCAGGAGACCCTTCTGTGTGAGTCTCACGACCTCCAACTCGCTTCGGAGGCATGCATTCGCTTAGGGTGGTATCCCGTCTTCAAGCCAGCTGTGCGTTCAGAAGACAATCGGCCCGTGGGGGGCGTTGCCATTTTGATCAGGCGCGTGCAAGATATTGGCGTACTTACCTCATCCGCATGCTCTGTACCCCTATGCACGACAGAGCTTGGCTTGAGTATGCCAGGCCACCCATGATTCCTGTGCCAGGGCACGTCAGGCCAAAATCCCGGGCGGTATTTTCGAGGCCACGTCAGGCCAACCCCCCCGGAGGGGTCTCTTAGGCCTCGTCGGGTCGCAACCCCCAGCAGTATCCCGAGGCCTCTTCAGGCTAAAATCGCCGAACCAGTGTGATCTGACCGCCACGTCCTGAGCGCGTCGGGCAAACAGGCGCAACAGTTCTGAGCGCATCGGGCAAAAACCTTCGCGCCCAATTAGGGCTGAAACCATTCTGGACCCGCTGACGGGCCCAAATTGGGTTCAGCTCCCTCGTATTTGTTTTCACGCCGGATGGGCCCATAAACCGTTCCGTGGCACGGCAGTGGCAGCAAGCAAGGGCCACGACGGGTCCCTCCGATTCCGCCTCCAATCCAGCGCTCGTTGTGCATCCAGCTGATCGGTATGGTTATTCAATCGCTTCGCTCATTCCGCCGGCCCTCGAGCGCTCTATGGGGCCTCTTTGAAGCGTCTTGGGGGCCTCATTTGGGGCCTCCTAGGGGCCTCTTGGGGGCCTCTTGGGGGTCTCTTGGGGCTCCTTGGCGGCGTCTTGGGGCCCCCTTGGGCCTCTTGGGGCGCTCCTGGGGGCTTCTTGGGGCGGGGTAGTCGATTGCCCCCCCCTCGGAGGCCACGATCCTCGTGAGGGGTGTCGAAAAAAGGCCCTCAAAACCATCTCTGAGTAGACCTGGTCGGGCTGCGGTCGGGGTACTTTTCGCCGGGGCCTCCAGGGGCCGCCCCGCGCGCGCGAACTAGAAATATTGTTAACCAGTTGCCGGAGATTTTAGCACGCCTCTGGCCCGTTGGGCCGGCGAATTCTACTTGGCTGGGGATCCGCCGTGCTCTTCATGAGGAGCGACAAAAGCCCCCCAAGCACCCTCAGCGACAACATTCGGTATCGCGCATTTCCTGGCAGGTTCGGGAACGTCTGCTTCGATTTGGGCGTCACGGCCCAGCCGCGATCGCTAGGTTGGGGCGTGCCGGCATGTCCGTGACCACCCGCTGCCGCACGTTCTGGACCTAGGTTGTTGCGGCCGGTGGGGAGGATAAATCGTGCCCCCCACTCAGGCACCTCCAGAACACCGGTTAGCTGGACAGCTCACCGGTACACTGCGGCTGCGCCCCGTGGGGCGGACAATGCGCGCCTCTTTGGGGCACCTGCAGAACACCGGTTAGCTGGACAGCTCACTGGTGTCCTGCTGTTGCGTCGACCTCGTGGCAGCAAAGAGCGACTCGGACTCTGTCACTCGCCCGCTGCCGCACGCTCTGGTTCTAGGTTGTTGCGGCCGGTGGGAAGGACAAATCGTGCCCCTCCCCCTCAGGCATCTTCATTACACTGCTTAGCTGGACCGCTCACAGGTGCACTGGCTAGGGGTAGCAAGCCGCCCTGACCTTGTGGCACCCGGTGAGCTTCCACAGGACCTCCCTACATGGCTAGAGAGTCTGCGTCTGACGCTATTCTGGGGGATGCCAGTTCACCCTTCGACCAGGCGATGTGACACGCTTCGCGCCTCATGAATTGCCGGGTAGGTGGCGACGTGACCTGTCGCGAAGCCCCCACCGCCTAACCGAATGCGTCGAGCCTGTGTGCCCCATCCGACTGACAGGGTCATGCCTACCCTCAAGGGCATTAGCGCTACACTGCGATCCTCCTCCTCCTCCTCCTCCTCCTCCTGCTCCTGCTCCTCCTCCTCCTCCTCCTCCTCCTCCTCCTCCTCCTCCTCCTCCTCCTCCCCATCCCCCTCTCTTCCTCCTCCTCCCCCTCCTCCTCCTCCTCCTCGTCGTCGTCCTCCTCCTCCTCCTTCCCCTCCTCCTCCTCGTCCTCACCTTCTATTCTCCCTCCTCCTCCTCCTCCTCCTTCCTCCTCCTCCTCCTCCTCCTCTCCTCCTCCTCCTCCTCCTCCTCCTCCTCCTCCTCCTCCTCCTACTCCTCCTCCTCCTCCTCCTCCTCCCCCTGCCCTGCGCCTCGACGTGCCATCCGCGCCCGTGCTTTCCCCTCCGCCCCCCCCTCCCCCTCTCTCCGACGAGGGAGGTCGTCGTCGAGCGGGGGGGGAAGTGAGAAGGAGAAGGCCTCGTCAGAAGGTTCGGAAGTCCCCCGGCCTTCCGAGAAATTTTGTAAGCCTTCCCCGAAAACAGGAACAACTTGTCAGAAGTCGCGAGGGCTTCTGAGACGTCCCGCCGCCTTCTGAGCAGGCCTTCACCTTCTCATTTCCCTCCCTCGTTCGCCGCCAACCGACGAGGAAGGGGGCCTGCTTCCTGTGGCGCTGCAGATCGTCGTCGTCGTCGTCGTCGTCGTCGTCGTCGTCGTCGTCGTCGTCGTCGTCCCAGCACCCTTGGGCCAAGCAGGTCTACCGCGCGCGAGTTTTTTCAAGAGGTCTGCGCCATCCTGCCGGCCCCCAGAGCATGGACGACCACGACGCAGCTGGTCGGGCTGGCTTCCGGGAGCGCCGGTGTGCGGGAGAGGGGGAGTTGGTCCACGACCCGAGAAACCCCGCAGGGGCCTCTTTGGCCTGCCCGGTGTCCTTCGAGATCCGACGCCGCGAAGGCATCGTGGCAAGCCGCGACCGGCCCGCTGTTCCTGCTGCTCCTTGCCGGCGGGATCGAGCCGTGAGGGCCCCGGGGCCCGAGGCCGAGCGAAGAGGCCCGGCGCGCCAGCCGCAGCCCGGCCCGACGGCGCGGCGGCGCCTCGAGCCGTGCCCGGCGGGGTGGCGCGCGGTCCGCCCGCAGGGGGCCGCACGGCGTGTCGCGGGGGCCGCCGCCGCGGCACACGCCGTGCAGCAGGTGCCCTGGCCGCAGCGCTGCATTCTCGCGCCCCGCCTCGCGCCTCGGGGCCTGGAGCCCGCGGCGCGCGGAGCCAGACATCCTCCGCTGTGGTTTTTGGCAGTCCACGGCCCCAGGCCCAGACCCCCTCGCGCCGTGAGGCAGCTCTCGGCGGGAGGTTTCTCGCTATGTTCGGCCTCGGGGGGCCCTCGCCGGTTTCGGGGCCGTCAAACAACGACTCAGGATGAAGAGCTGGTCCCGGGGAATGCGTCGAGCGAGACCTCTGGGGGTCGACGTTGTGACAAGATCATAACGTCGCTGGGGAGGTCCCGACCCCTGCTCTGGGGGTGGTTTCTCGTCCCGGCGCCATTTTACGACGGTCCCTGGGCCAGATGATCCATGGGGTTGCTAGAAGTGCCCCTGGCCCAAGGTGCCCCCAGCTCCCCGCTCCACTCTGGAGCCCCTGGGGCCCTCTAGGCCTTGCGAGGGGTGCTCTATGGAGGCCGTGGGGCCCTGCCTGGAAACCCTGGGAGCACCGTGAGCAAGGGACACTTCGTCAGCAGCACCCGAAGGAGAAGGGCAATGGAGGCCGCCATCCCGGAAGAACCGCCACATCTGAACAACATCATATCCTTGGAGATCAGCATCTCTTCTCCTCCTCCTCCTCCTCCTCCTCCTCCTCTACCCTCCTCGTCCTCCTCCGCCCTTCTCCTCCTCCGCCCTTCTCCGCCTCCTCCTCCTCCTCCTTCTCCTCCTTCTCTTCCTCCTCCTCCTGCTGCTGCTCCTCCTCCTCCTTCTCTTCCTCCTCCTCCTCCTCCTCCTCCTCCTCCTCCTCCTCCTCCTCCTCGAGGAGCAGAAGAGGCAGGCGGCCGAGGCGGCCAAGAAGCAGGCCGAGGAGGCGTGCGTCCCCCCCCCGCCGCGTCCCCGCGGCTCCCGCGGCGCGGCCCCGGCGCCCGCGGGGGGCCTCCTCTGCCGCCCGCTTCTCCCCGCGGCGAGGCGCAGCCGCACCTCCTCCGCCCTCCTCCTCCGCCTCCTCCTCCTCCTCCCTCCTCCTCCTCCTCCGCCGCCCTCCTCCTCCTCCTCCACCCTCCCTTCTCCGCCCGCCTCCTCCTCCTCCTCCTCCTCTTCCTCCTCCCACCACCCGCACCCACACGAGGCATTGCTCTGGCGTGTGCACTTGGCTCGGCGAGGCCAGCGCCAGAACACCTGGACCCTCCGGGAGCACATAGGGGTTGGAGGTCGCTTGGGGGGCAGCGTTGTTTCCAGGGCCAGATCCCAATGCGCTAAGCCAGCGCGCTTGATCCGTCAATAACATTCCTTACGACACCCATTCGCGACAAGTTCGGACTTTAGGTTTGCGTTTGCTCTTGCCGACGATTGGGCTGCTTAGGCTTGCTCTTGCCCTACAAGCATTGCCTCCTCCTTCGCGTTCACTGCCCCTCAGCGAGCTGAAACATAGGGGGATATCCTCTCGCGAACACCAGGGACGCTCTCGGAACCGAGGCGTGCACGGGGAACGGACGTCCGAGCGATGGCAAGACTTATGTCGGGCCTGTCCCTCTACGGGAGAACTATGCAAACATAGCAGCAAAACATGCTATGGGGGCGATGTCTTTAGTATTTCTGGGCATGTTCTGGATATTTTTTGGCTGTTTTTTACCTAACAGCTCTTGCTGATAGGTTTCTAGTGGGGTCAAAAGAGAGCAGCAGATGACTCCACAGGGGGGTCGGGGCGGCATCCGGGGAGCTGTGTCCGAACTCGTGTCCGAATGCGCTTTTCGCAAACAGTCACACACTTCGTGCTCTTCGACCTCCCAGAACTCCATTCCCGGGCCACATTTTGAATGCCTGGAACCAACTGTAGGCCACTTCGTGCTCTTCGACTTCCCAGAACTCCATTCCCGGGCCACATTCTGAATGCCCGGAGCCAACTGTAGGCCACTTCGTGCTCTTCGACCTCCCAGAACTCCATTCCCGGGCTACATTTTGAATGCCCGGAGCCAACTGTAGGCCACTTCGTGGTCTTCGAGTTCCCAGAACTCCATTCCCGGGCCACATTTTGAATGCCCGGAGCCAACTGTAGGCCACTTCGTGCTCTTCGAGTTCCCAGAACTCCATTCCCGGGCCACATTTTGAATGCCCGGAGCCAACTGTAGGCCACTTCGTGCTCTTCGAGCTCCCAGAACTTCATTCCCGGGCCACAGTTTGAATGCCCAGAGCCAACTGTAGGCTTCGTGATCTTCGAGTTCCCAGAACTCCATTCCCGGGCCACATTTTGAATGCCCGGAGCCAACTGAGGCTGAGGCAGGCTGCTGCTGAGGCAGGCTGAGGCTGAGGCTGAGGCAGGCTGAGGCTGAGGCAGGCTGAGGCTGAGGCTGAGGTTGAGGCTGAGGCTGAGGCAGGCTGAGGCAGACGCTGAGGCAGGCTGATGCTGAGGCAGGCTGAGGCTGAGGCTGAGGCTGAGGCTGAGGCTGATGCTGAGGCGGAGGCTGTGGCTGTGGCTGAGGCTGAGGCTGAAGCAGGCTGAGGCAGAGGCTGAGGCAGGCTGAGGTGCTGAGGCAGGCTGAGGCTGAGGCTAAGGTTGAGGCTGAGGGCAGACTGAGGCTGAAGGCTGAAGGCTGAGGCTGAGGCTGAGGCTGAGGCAGGCTGAGGCTGAGGCTTGAGGCAGGCTGATGCTGAGGCAGGCTGGCTGAGGCTGAGGCTGAGCAGGCTGAGGCTGAGGCAGGCTGAGGCTGAGGCAGGCTGAGGCTGAGGCTGAGGCTGAGGCTGAGGCTGAGGCTGAGGCTGAGGCTGAGGCTGACAGGCTGAGGCAGGCAGGCTGAGGCTGAGGCTGATGCAGGCTGAGGCTGAGGCAGGCTGTGAGGCCGAGGCTGAAGGCTGAGGCTGAGGCTGAGGCTGAGGCTGAGGCTGAGGCTGAGGCAGGCTGAGGCTGAGGCTGAGGCTGAGGCTGAGGCTGAGGCTGCAGGCTGATGAGGCTGAGGCAGGCTGAGGCTGAGGCTGAGGCAGGCTGATGCTGAGGCAGGCTGAGGCTGAGGCTGAGGCTGATGCAGGCTGAGGCTGAGGCAGGCTGAGGCTGAGGCCGAGGCTGAAGGCAGACTGAGGCTGAGGTGAAGCAGGCTGAGGCTGAGGCCGAGGCAGGCTGATGTGAGGCTGAGGCAGGCTGATGCTGAGGCAGTTGAGGCTGAGGCTGAGGCAGGCTGAGGCTGAGGCTGAGGCAGGCTGAGGCAGACGCTGAGGCAGGCTGATGCGGAGGCAGGCTGAGGCTGAGGCTGAGGCTGAGGCTGAGGCTGAGGCTGATGCAGGCTGAGGCTGAGGCAGGCTGAGGCTGAGGCCGAGGCTGAAGGCAGACTGTGGCTGAGGCTGAGGCTGAAGCAGGCTGAGGCTGAGGCTGAGGCAGGCTGAGGCTGAGGCTGAGGCAGGCTGATACTGAGGCAGGCTGAGGCTGAGGCTGTGACTGTGACTGCCGTTGCCACTGCGACTGTCATCGCGAATGCGACTGCGACTGCGAGAACAGGAGAATTCTACAACTGGATTCTCATCTGGATCTTAAGGGGAATGTTTCCATATATATATATATATATGCTTCTACACATCGCTGTTAGGTTGCTTTGCCGGGATAATCATTTTTCGCCCAAGATCCTCCTGCAGGGGGACAGGCCCGACCTAAGGCAAGACCCATGAGGCCGCGGAGGCAGGGGCAGGGAGATCGTCGGGCGGGTGATGATGGGGGGTGGCCCAGATGGGGGGCGACCCAAACGGGCCCTGCAGGGCCCCTTTGGGGCCCCTGTAGGCTGAGGCTGATGCTGAGGCAGGCTGAGGCTGAGACAGGCTGAGGCTGAGGCTGAGGCAGGCTGAGGCTGAGGCAGGCTGAGGCTGAGGCCGAGGCAGGCTCAGGAGTCTGAGGCAGGCTGAGGCTGAGGAAGGCTGAGACTGAGGCTGTGGCAGGCTGAGGCTGAGGCTGAGGCTGATGCAGGCTGAGGCTGAGAGGCTGACGCTGAGGCTGAGGCTGGCTGAGGCTGATGCTGAGGCTGAGGCCGAGGCAGGCTGAGGCTGAGGCTGAGGCAAGCCGAGGCAGGCTGAGGCTGAGGCTGAAACTGAGGCAGGCTGAGGCTGAGGCTGAGGCTGAGGCTGTGGCTGAGGCTGAGGCAAGCTGCGGCTGAGGCACGCTGAAGCTGAGGCTGATGCAGGCTGAGGCTGAGGCAGGCTGAGGCTGAGGCTGAGGCTGAGGCTGAGGCAGACTGAGGCTGAGGCTGAGGCTGATGCAGGCTGAGGCTGAGAGGCTGATGCTGAGGCTGATGCAGGCTGAGGCTGAGGCTGAGGCCGAGGCAGGCTGATGCCGAGGCTGAGGCAAGCCGAGGCAGGCTGAGGCTGAGGCTGAAGCTGAGGCAGGCTGAGGCTGAGGCTGTGGCTGAGGCTGAGGCAAGCTGCGGCTGAGGCAGGTTGAGGCTGAGGCTGATGCAGGCTGATGCTGAGGCAGGCTGAGGCTGAGGCTGAGGCAGGCTGAGGCTGAGGCTGAGGCTGAGGCCGAGGCAGGCTGAGGCTGAGGCCGAGGCAAGCCGAGGCAGGCTGAGGCTGAGATCGAGGCTGATGCTGAGGCAGGCTGAGGCTGAGACAGGCTGAGGCTGAGGCTGAGGCAGGCTGAGGCTGAGGCTGAGGCTGAGGCTGAGGCCGAGGCAGGCGAATCCTTCGGAATCCTTAGGGTTCCCTAGGAATCCTTAGGAATCCCTAGGAATCCCTAGGAATCAGGCTTCCTAAGGATTCCTAAGGTTCCTAAGGATTCCTATGGATTCCTAAGGATGCCTAAGGATGCCTTAGGAATCCCTAGGGATCCTTAGGATTCCATTGGATCCTAAGGCCGTTGCCACTGCGACTGTCATTGCGAATGCGACTGCGACTGCGAGAACAGCAGAATTCTACAACTGGATTCTCACCTGAATCTTAAGGGGAATGCTTCCAGATATGCTTATACACATCGCTGTTAGGTTGCTTTGCCGGGATAACTTTTTTCCTATATACTTCCGCTGAGTCGAGCCGATCCGATCCGTGCTCGAGCTGCCCACAACTGTGTATCCAGCTCGGGGCTTCTTCAGCAACCGTGCTCCTGCTCTGTTGGGGCCTCCCCCACGCCCCGTCGCTCTCCCGGTCGGGCAGCGGTCCGCCTGGCAACATATTGTATATGGTTCATATTGTATATGGTTTCTGTTGACAGCTCCCTGCGGGTACCTGCGCTCACCGAGCGCGTCCCACTATTTGCAAAGTGCCTACTCGCAAGCGTCAGAAAAAAAAACAGGTCTGCTTCGATGTAATTTATCGTGGAGCCCCCGCGGGGGATCCAAGCCATTTGCGAGTAGTCACTCTGCGAGAAGTGGAATGTGCTCGTATATGTGCGTCTCAAGTCACGAGCACGCGTTGACCGCAGTGCCACCGTCCGCCACCGAACCAGCCGCCCTCCTCGAGCTCCTCAGAGGAGGAGAGGGCCACCGGTACCGCAGCCCGTCCCGGAGACTTGGCATCGCTCGGACGTGTGCATTTTTCCTTCGGCGAGGACCATCTAGGAACATCCTTGATCACTTGGCGAAAAAACCACGCACGAAACCAACAAAAAAAAAACACAGGGAATGGACGTCCGACCGATGGCCAGGAGAGCCCTCGCCGCCGCGGCCGGATGTTCCTGGGCGGTGCCTGGTCGGAAGGCACCCCAGAGAGGGGTCCGGGGGAGCAGCGGTGCAGTCGGCGCGCACGGCAGGGGCGCGCGCCTATTCTGCTAGGCCCTAGTAACTAAGGCTACCCTAGTAACTTGGGTACCCTTAGTAACGCAAAGGGTACCCCTAAGGCTAGAAACTAAGGACGCAAAGGGTACCCTAGTAACTAGGGTATACCTCTTGCGTCCCTGCCACTGCGGCCCGCGTCCCTGGCCGTTTTGCACTGGTCGCCCGTCGCCCAGAAGTCCCAACCTTCCGCCTCCGAGGGTCGGGCCGGACGAAAGGGGGGGGGGATTGGGAAAGGGGGGGTTACGAAATTTGCGGCATGCAGCTGGTTTCGGCCTCACCGAGGGGCCCATTCTTCGATAGATGGCCGCCTCCGGCGCCGGGAGGCGCCTGCAAGATCAGCTACGTGAGCTGATTCTCCCCCCCCCCTCCTTTGCTATCCCCCTCTGTCGCCCGACCCGACAAGGGTCCTGCGTCCTTGCCACCCGCTCCCAAGGTGCGTTCTCGCCGTATCGATGTGCCCCTCGCCTCCCGCCCCGAGCCGCCTCGCCCCCGCCGTGCGCTCTCGGGGCCTGCCGCTCTGGAGGCGCTCCTCCCTGTGCTCCCTCTCCCCCCTCCTCCCTCGGCCCCCCCCCCCTCACTGGCAAGGGAGGGGCGGGGAGGAGCTCTTTGCTCGCTCCCCCCCCCCCCCCCCCCCCCGTCGGCCTTCCCTGCCTCGCTGGCAGGGAGGGCGTGCGGGAAGGAGCCTCCTCTCCCATGTTCTGGGCGCGATCGCCTGCACTCGTGGATCGCTGTGTCCTGTTCGCCGCTCCATCTCTCCGACTTTTTGCCCCGTGCTCCTCGCTTGCCCCTCTCACCAGAGCCCTCCCTCCCTCCCGGTCTCGCTTCATGCTCCCCATCACGCACGTAGTCCTTCGTCCTTGATCCGTGTTGCTTTCCCGTTGTTCTTTACGCATTCCGCCTCCCTCTTACCCTTTGTTCCTTCCTATTCGCTCCCCAGCAGTTGTTCCGTACTATTTGCTGATTGGCCGTTGCTTTCCCCTGTGTTCCTTTATCCCTTTACCGGGTACTCCTTGCTCTCTGTTCCTTGCCCTTTGTTCTGGGCTCGATGCTTACCACTTTTTGCTCTGGGATCCTCGCTCCCTGTGGGAGGAGGAGGAGGCGGAGGAGGAGGAGGAGCCTCACTTTATGCTCCTTGTCATGTGGTTATGTGCACACATTGTGTCACGTCGAGCGCACCACATACGTTGCACCATGTACGTTGCACCACATGGCTTGCACCACATCGAGCTTAGTACCTAGTTTGCACCACACGAGCACATATCCACACATCTGTACACATATGCGTACATACATGTAGCACCGCATATATTGCGCCACGTTTATTGCAATTCATCGGTGGCACATCCATCGTGGAATAACTCACTGTTTGCCCACCCCCCACCCCCCACACCCCCGCCAGCAAGCATGATCTATCGTTCGCTCATTATTTCTGCGTCCTCTGTCCGAAATAATAACCACGTATCCGTCGCTCTCTCTCCTTTGTCTGCATTGTCCTTGGTCTCTTGCTCCTGGCTCCTCATCCCTCCTTGCCCTCCTCTCCTGCATTCCTCTCGTCGACCGCGAGGCTGCGGAGAAGCGCCGTGCCATGGAGGAGATCAACAAGAAGAAGAGGCCGCCGTGCGGAGCTGGCCCTCCAGTACCCTTCCTGTTCGTTCAGACTCGGAGGTCTGCGTAGATTTCTCGGATCGGCGCTGGAGGCCCCTCCCTGGCGCGCAGAGCGCACCAGGGGCGGTGCCGGAGGCGCCGCCAGGGGTCCCAAGCGCCGATCCATAAAATCCGAGCGAACGTCGGAGTTTTTATGTGCATGCCGTTGTTTGTTTCCCTCTCATCCTCGTCTCCGTCCTCCTCATCCTCGCCCTGACATATCGTGCTCCACAGAGAGCCTTGCTGGGCAGGAGGAGGAGGAGAAGGAGGAGGAGGAGGAGGAGGAGGAGGAGGAGGAGGAGGAGGAGGAGGCTGCCTCTACCCCGCCCTCGTTTTCCCCCTTTTTGCGCGGCCTCCTGGGAGGCCCTCGTCGTCGCCGCTGGATGCGCCTCGACCATTCGGGTCAGGGCGCACCGCGGGAGAGGTCCGGGGAGGAGCGGCATCGATGCCTCTTGGTCTCCCCGAATGACGCACGCAGGTCCTTCAGGTGCCCTGGTGTCTTTGCCTCTGAGGCCCGTCCTTCGCGGTTTTCGCGGTTTTCGCCGGCCAGCCCCTCAGGGTGTTGGCAGGCCGCCGCCCAGCAAAGTGCCAGCTTCGGCGTCCCAAGGCCCGTGCGTGCTTGCCGCCCGTTTTCGCTGTAGATTTCGACTGTGTAGTGGGTGGCCTGCGTTCCTCCTCCCGGGAGGTGGCAGCAGAGCATTTTTCCTGCTGCTCCTGATGGTGGGGAGCGCCCGGAGGGATGCCTCATCTGTTGGGCCTGCTGGCTCCCAGGTCCTGGGCGCACTCTGGCGCGCGGATCTCGGGCCCATGCGCCCTGGCTCAGCAGTTGCCCAGCTCCCACGGAGGAGGAGGAGGAGGAGGAGGAGGAGGAGGTGGAGGAGGAGGAGGAGGAGGCGGAGGAGGAGGAGGGGGCGGAGGAGGAGGCGGAGGAGGAGGGAGGGAGGGAGGGAGGGAGGGAGAGAGGGAGGAGGAGGAGGAGGAACAGAAGCAGGATGGGAGGATGAGGAGGAGGAGGGAGGAGGAGGGAGGAGGAGGAGGAGGAGAGAGGAGGAGGAGGGAGGAGAGGGGGAGGAGGAGGAGGAGGAGGAGGAGGAGGAGGAGGAGGAGGAAGAAGAGGAGGAGGAGGAGGAGGATGAGGAGGGCTGGACGTTGTGGCTGAATCTGCATCATAACCAATAATTTCTTGCTAATAGAGGGTGGCGGGCCGCACGGGACACAGGGTTAGCGGATCCCCCCGAATTCGCCTGAGACATCCTCAAACAAAAAGATCTTCGCGACATCGCGTTGAACAGCAACAACAAGCGTTTCGCTCGAGACATCCTCGAACAACTGTTCGCCGCGAAATTCGTTCAGCACAAATGAGACGTTCTCAACATCGTCTTGACATTGTTCTTGAAGTGCTTCAAGATGAAGAAGTGAGATCCTCCGAAGGACCCACAGACGGCTCCAAGAGCGCGCTGATGACTGCTGAAATTGACGATTTCGCTGGGGACATCCCCAAACATCAAACACATATCGTTTTGACAACTGATGTTCTAACACCGTCTTGGAAACACCTCTTGAAAGGGCTCCCAGACGGCCCAATACAGGCTTCTAACAATGACGATGTCGCTAGGGACATTCTCAACAAGAGGTGTGTGACATCGCATTGACATCGTTTTTGATGGCGAAACGTTCCCGACCGAGCCCCAAACGAGCTCCAATATGACCCCAAGAGGGCCCTCGATATTTTTCAATTTGCGTATTTCGCTCGGTACGTCCTAAACCATGAGTTGTTCGCAACACCGTCTTTCACAACAACAAGTATTTCGCCTGAGACATCCACCAGAACATGAAAACCGCGAATCTAACAAACTTATGGAAGTGGAGCTATCGCCTGAGACATCCTCGAAAACATGAGCTGTTGAAAAGGCTGGCTCAAGACCATGCATGTTAAAACTGAGCCTTTCGCCTGAGACATCTTCTGAACATGGGCAGGATCACGGCAGCCCAACACGCAGAGGCACGGCAGAACGCGGGGGAGCACAGCAGAATACACAGGAACACGGCAGAACACACAGGAGCACGGCAGAACCCAACGAACAAATCCGTAGCCATTTTGGCTCAAGCTGGCTTCGGGCGCTGGGCGGGCAGCGTGCCCCCCCGCTGCGGCTCGGGCGATGGCGACGGTCCGTCCCCTTGATGGGGAAGCGGTGGCGCTGCTCGCCCCGCTCGTGAAGGCGGCTGCGGCGGGCGCGGCCGAACGCGGTGGCGGGCGGCAGCAGGTCGCCGCCGCTGTCGCCTCGGCCCTGCGCGCGGGTGCTGCGCTGCTCGCCCCGTGCCAGGCCTCCGAAGTTGAGGGGGAGGTGGCGGTGCGCGAGCAACTTAGGAGGGCCCACCTTACGGAGATGGTCAAGGCTGGCCGCGCGGGCGTGCAGCCGCGGCCGTCGGGGGCCAGCCGCGCCTTCCGCGGCTGGGCCCAGCACGCCGAGTTCGGCGGAGGGCCCCATGATGTGCCTGCCACGGCGCGCGATGCCAGGCGCCGCGGGAGGGGCCGACGTCGCGGCGCTGGCGACGCTGAGTCGGGCTGAGTCGGCGGGGGCGGCGGACGCGGCGGACACCGCGACCACTGACGACCTGGAGGCAGTGAAGGAGCAGCTCGAGGAGGGTCGGGAGGCGAGGGTCCCGTTGAAGCCGGCGGAGAAGAAAAAGGGGGAGATGAAGAACCTGGTCTTCCAGTGCGCCCCTGGTGACAAGGCCACCGACGAGGTGAAGGTGGTGGTATCGGCCATGGGTGAGTTGGCCCTGGTGAACACTCGGCTCAACAACGGGGAGACCAAGATCGACTTCGAGAAGCTCATGGACGCGAATGTCCCGAGGTGACGGCCCAGCTGGTCACGGACTGCCGCAAGGTGGAGTGCAGCCACATGGACGATGGCGCTGATGATGGCGTCGCGGTCAAGGTCGGCGACGACGACGTGTTCGCGGAGTGCAGCGTTGTGAGCCTCTCTGTCGATCCCGTCAAGGGCAAGGGCAGGCGTCTCGAGGCCGGTGCCCCTGGAGGTCGTGCGCAGGAGCGGCTGGCCGCGGCCGTGGCGGCCCAGGCGGCAATCCTGTGCGGCGATCTGGCCGAGGGGCTGCGGCTTCTCGAGGCCGGGTGAGTGAGTGAGTGAGTGAGTGAGTGAGTTAGGCGTGCAGTTGCATTCTTTTTGTAGATCTGTCTCGCCTCGGAGGGGGGGTTAGGCGTCTGGGGGGGTGGCCCTTCCACCTGCCCAGGCCCGCTGGGGCCGCCCCGTTTAGGTTTCGTAAGGATTTCCCCTTTTGCCTTGAAGGCCCCGTCTTTAACTTTAACTTTAACCCAACGAGCAAACGGGAGAACGGCAGAACACACAGGAGCACAACAGATCACACAGGAACACGAGGAGCACAGCAGAACACGCATAATACATAGGAGCACGGCAGAACATTCCTGCGGCAAACGCACACAGAACACACAGGAGCACGGCAAAACACTCAGGAGCCCGGCCGAACACGCAGGAGCACGGCAGAACACGCAGCAGCACGAGGAGCATGGCAGAACACATAATACATAGGAGCACGGCAGGACACACAGGAGCACGGCAGAACACACAGGAGCGGAACAGAACACACGAAACACATCCGTAGGCATTTTTGGCTCAAGCTATTTTGGCTCAAGGCCATTGAGTACCCGACGACCGCAAGTCGTCCGCGGCATTTCGAGCGCGAGGGTCTCCTTGCTTTGGGCCAGTGCACTTCTTTGTTGTGCTCCCTGCATTCACGGTGCGGAGGTGCGACCTGTCGGCCAGCTCGGCAGGGGCCATGGCGCGCTCCTCGCGTGGCAGCGGCAGTAGCAGCAGGCGCAGCAGGTCTTATTGGATGTGCAGCTGCGGAGGGCGGAACTGGGACTGGCGCACCTCGTGCCTCGGCTGTGGGTACGCTGCGCCGCCCTGGGCGTTGGAGCCAGCGACCGCCAAGGCAAAGCCCCAGGCTGACAAGGGCGGCTGGGTGGATCAGCCGCGAGGACGCCGTGCCCAGCGGCATGCCCGCAGTGCTGCTACGAGTGCGGCCTCCGCCAAGTCGCGGACCTCGGCGTCGGCGGCCAGTGGGGCGCCCAGCGGCAGCGGTGCCGCGGGGATCGAGAGGTTGCAGGCGACAGTCGAGCAGCTGGAGGCGCTGCAGGCCGAGCCGCCTGACGGGGTCGACAGTTGTTTCGCCGACGTCGTCGGCAGCCAGCTGGAGGCCAATCGCGCAGAGCTGGTCGAGGCGCAACGGGCAGCAGCGGAGCAGAAGGCGTCCTCCCTGCCGCTGTCGACGCAGCTCCACAAGGAGGCGAACGCCATCGGCAAGGCTGAGAAGCGGCTCCGAGCAGCGCGCCAGGGCCTGGAGCGGAAGCAGGCGGCGCGTGACATCGCCGAGGCCCAGCTTCAGAAGGCCCAGGAGGAGCTGGCGACGCTCGACGCGGAGGTGGAGGAGGCCAGCCGCGCACTCCACGCCCTCGAGGAAGCAGCCCGCGAGGAGGCAGAGGCGCAGCAGCGCCAGCGCGCCGCTGCGTGGGCAGGAGCCAGCCAGGTTCCTGGGCCCCGCATACAGTTGGACAAGCTACCCGAGGCTTGGGGCTCCAACAACTTCGAGGTGGCGTGGGCAGCTGGAAGCAGTGCGCGCGCTGCTCGCGGAAGTCCCTGCAGGCCCGAAGAGAGCGCCCTGGGCTGAGTCCTGCCCCATGGACGACTTCAGCAGCGAGGGTGGCGACCACGCGGGCGGCAGCGGGCCTTGGCGGCCGCAGTGCGCCGCAGAGCGCGGCCAGGCCGAGCGGCACGGCGACGCGCTCGGCGAGTGGCCGAAGGTCGCCCAGGCCTGCAAGCGGGGGCTGGTGGCCGAGGCTGCTGGCCTGGCCCCTCTTGCTGCTTGCCCTGCTCGCCGAGCCGCTGGGGGCCGCGTCGGAGGCGCAAGGCCAGGGCAGTCGTGCGC